GTTTCAGTCCCTGGCCGACAGCTGTCATCTACCCGAACTGGACCCAAATGATGAAAGTATCACTAAGCTTATTAAGAAACCTGGGACACCACTTCAGTGTCCAGGTTCCCAGCTGACCCGTTATCGGAGCGGAGCCTTGGAAGTGATTGACCATGGAGGTAAAGTTAATGTTTTTTTTCTTCAATACCTATATGGGGCAATGGTGTGTTGGGTAAAGGGTACTGCTAAATTACACTTGTAGTAGAATGAGCCTTAAACAAAAATATTGTTACCTTGGGAAGCACGTATAAATGAACTCCAAGAGGTCACTAGATGCCAGCGCGGTTCGATGAACAGTATGTAGTTTCCCTCTTTTCGGTTGAAATGAAAAAAAAGGAACCCGCCTCAAGTTGCTCATTTTTATCGGAGTGAACTATACTACTTGACCCTGGGCAAGAAAATTGACCCATGATTTTCAAAGTATTTTTCTCTCTCTTTTCACAGCTACAAATATCTCGTCTTTGATGTATCAGTCAATTTTTCGGCCACAACACAAAGACTGGGGAGTTATTTTTGGGGATGAAGTTAGCCTACAAGCAAAAGATGGTCAATTCAGACTTGATTCAGAATTCATCCGCGTTAAGCTCACCACCGCTCAAGGTACAAAACACGTAGAATACCACGCGCAAGTCGTACCTAAGCCCCTGCCTGTCAATCACAGAAAAGAAAACGGACTTCCTCTTAGCGTTGTTATCATAGGCCTCGATTCTTTGTCAGCGGCGCACTTCCAGAGAGCTCTTCCTGAGGCTTACAAGTTTATGAAAGAAGAGATGAACTCAGTGTTCCTAAAGGGTTATTCTGTTGTTGGAGATGGCACTACTCCTGCATTGGCAGCTCTTATGACAGGTAATATAAGCAGGGGAGGGAAGGGAGAGCTGGTACAAAGCAAGACACATACTTTTGCTAACTCCTCACACCCTTTTGTTGCCCACGTGCTTTATTATATGTTTACGCTCTTTTGAAATCGGAACTGGATTGTATTCGGCCTGAAGGAGCTCTTGTTCATTACTCCCAATGCAAATAACGGTGGTACTTAGGATGGATTCATTTGCAACCTACGCGTATAGCTGTCGCATTTACCCGCTGGATTTTTTTATTGTTTTTAGGCTTAAAAACAAAAATAGTTCCAGCGGGCCATGCGACCGCTATACGCGTATGTTCTAAATAAATACACCCTTAATTTTAGGACTCTTTTCGTGCTTGCATTCAATCTTTTGTTTCTTGTCGTTTTTTACCAACGGCGTTTAGCGTAGCAACCGGCAAGCTCTGGTCGTGTAAAGAAGCGCAGTTTAGAATATATTCTACAGGATAGAAATGGCCTAGAGTTACCTTAAAACATGATAGTTTATTATGATGAAAAGAAAGATATGTAATTTTTTCTCGAAACAAGAGAGTAGTATGGAAGAGATAGACTAGTCCCTTTTTCAGAGCGGATATCTCATTTAAGATGGCAGAAACAATTGAAATTTATGACGTCACGAATTTGTGGCTAGTTTTACTGGTTTGGCAGATTTGAACCTTATGTTTCAATACTAAAACCAGAGAGCACCGTCAGAACACCACACATACAATCTGACCATAAAGGATATTTTTTCGTGTATAAAGGAATGTGTGCTGCATTGCTATCGCCCGCTCGCACATACCAGACACCGTTGACACGGACGGTCCGGAAAAAGTTTTGAACAGACGAATTTTTTATCGCTGTGAAATCCATTTACATGAAACCGTGCAAATTTTGTATCAGTATTGTTTACATGAGTCTGTACTAATTTTTGCTAGTCTCAACGTCGGAATGGCTTTTTTTTCAAAAGCGCGCGACTATGCTCCAGGCTTTTACCACAAAAACTGTGCAATACCTTCCACGGTTGAGGTGTTTACACAGGTTCGCGCAAAGGTTGAACCACACTGGTCAAATATTTTGACCTACCTCTGATCAGGAAAAAACAATTGCCACTTTGCCGTTTTTTAAAAAAACCTTGCACGGTTCCGCGGGTCCCGTATAAACGAAAGGCGGACCAGTGCAAGTTTTATCACTGGTTTTGTCCGATTAAAAATTTGTCCAGACCCTTGTTAAAGGGGTCTTAATGTCTCCCCTATTCTTTCACTCTTCTTTTAGGTAAATTTGAATCCGAGCTTCCGGAAGCGCGCAAAGGATTTGCGGGCTCAGAACCGCTAGACCGCTGGTCACATATATTCAAGGACTTCAAGGCACAAGGTTACGCCACTCTGTTCAGTGAAGACGCCCCATTTTACGCTGCATTCAACTACCGTTTACATGGCTTCAAAGAACCTCCAACGGATCATTTCTCTCGATATTTCTGGGAAGCAGCGCATACGACCTCGCCGCAATGTGTTCACAGCAAGCCACAACATCAAATCCATTTTGATTACATCACGTCATTTCTGGAAGCTTATCGAAATCAACTCAAGTTTGGATTGTTTTTCATGTCAGAAATCTCTCATAACAATTTAGAAAATGTTTATTTCTGCGCGGATAATTTTGTAGCTCTTCTAAGACATTTATATGGAGGAAATCTTTTGAACGATTCCTTGTTGATAGTTATGTCAGATCACGGTGCTCGGGTTGGTGACGCAAGAGTGACTTTGCAAGGAAAGCTAGAAGAACGTCTTCCACTGATGTCTTTTACATTCCCAAAATGGTTTTCCCAACAATACCCCAGTTTAGTTGAAAATTTTAAAGAAAATAGTAACATTGTGACGTCACCCTTTGATCTATATGCCACCTTTAAACACATGCTAAGTTACCCCCAAGTTCCCACTAACTTGACGAGAGGTAAAAGCCTTTTCAGTAAAATTAATAAATCTCGTGATTGCGAAGATGCGGGTATAGCCGAACATTACTGCCCGTGCATACAATGGAAGAGTATCGACACACGTACAGATCACGCGCGCAGTGCTGCTCAAGCAGCTGTTGATCACGTGAACAACCTAACTGCATCAGACGCCCAAGGCTTACACCTTTGTTCGCGTTTACAACTTAAAGAAATCTTGGCAGCTCATCAAACAATTCCAAATGTAAAGGTGGCTCAATACTTAGGATCGTCTGATGTTCATGGTAGAAAACCTATGTTTTCAAGAGGCACTGCGACGCTTGGGCAATGTTTATATCAAATACAGTTTCAGACTGTACCTGGGAATGGTATATTCGAGGCCTCAGTGAGTCTCCAAAGTGGTATTTTTAGGGTTACAAGTGAAATGAGCAGGATAAACCTTTACGGTGACCAACCCAAGTGCATAGTGGACAAAAGTCCTCATTTACGAAAGTATTGTTTGTGTAAAGATTATAAAGAAGAATAAGCACAAAAAATGACGATAACAACAACAAAAAAGGGGTCATTTCAGACAGCATAAGCTCAAGTTCCAACAACATTAACTTTGGAAACTTTAGTAAGAAAATGACTTTTATTTGCATGAGAATTAAAAGAAAATATTTTTTTAACACAAACTTTCCACTTGCTCTCGTTTTGCAAGAGACGCTAGGAAATGATCTATCTCATAAAGGAACTAGTTTAACTCCACCTATGAACTATTGTCACTCTTAAAAAAACAATAAGACTTCGTAGTGGCTCAGTTTTGTTATATCACGTGCACGAAGGAGTATTCTTGCTCACAGGGCGTCAAGTTTCGCCACTGCAAAACGGTTCCCTGAATAGCTTATACCTGCAGACATTTCTCCCGACCCGGTTGAATATCCCTGATCCTTTATGACCACTGAGCGATCCATCAAGCCATCGATAAAGCACCGCCTCCCTGCTTTGATTTTGGCGGGAAACTAGATTCAAAATCCTTAAAAAGAGACAAGTCAACAATCCTCGTCTAGGTCGCTTCGCGACCTCACTAAAGCTCCCATCCCTCGCTTAGGGGTTACTGACAAACTTTTAAACCGTAATACTGATTAAAGAGATCAAATTGGTGCAGTTCTAAAGATCAGTGTGCATGAAGCAAGAAACATAAAGCGACGTTCACTTTAGGTTCCGGTTGTTCAAACGGTGGATAGCGTTATCCAACGGATAAATCAGTATACAGCCGATAAGTATTAGGGAAACCAATTGCGTTATCCACTGGATGGAGATTTATCCACTGGATAACGTTATCCACCTTTTGAACAACTGAGGCCAGAATGAGTTTTTTTATCCTTTTAGTCTTACTTGTTTATGAAGGGAGGAAGGGATGGGACCTTCCAAGACCTTGTAGGCTACTCTCCCTACTGTAGTTGCACCATTTCGTTAGTTATTTGCGGTACCGAGCGCTTGACTGACGCTTTTCGTTATCCTTCTCACTGTGCGCTCTGATTCTCTTAAGCTCACCTTCCAGAAATGTTTGGTCTAACGGGGACAACGCTTGCTTACCCTCCTTCCTCGGAGACTTAGTTCGTTTAAGTTCTTTTACATTCTCAGCGCGCTCTTCAGTCACTGCTCGCTTCCGTGGACTATGGCGAGCATCGCGGCTTCTGTATCTTCTACTTTCATTGCCCTGATCCTCGACTGGTTGCTTTTCTCTCTCTTTTTCGAAACTCCTGTGGCTTTTTGATGAAGATGAAGGCCTACACTTTGTTGTTTTATCGCTATTACCTTTCCACGTACTGTGACCCTTATGCGTATCGTATTCTGGTAACGAGTTAGTCCTACTTCTACTGCTATGTAGTAATGTGTCTTCCCCAACACGCTTATCGCTATGTAAAGTACCAGGATGAACAAGCTCTCCTCGAAAATTCACCTTCTCGTCTCTTTGATTAGGTTTCTCTTTCTCCCTGTAATCTCTACTTGTTTTTCTTTTACTGCTTTCTGCACCACTTTTTTCGACCCATTCCTCGCTACTTTCACTAGAATCAGTTCTCGAGGACTCGCTTTCACTTGAAGAATTATTTGAACTAGAAGATGAAGTAGAACTGGTACGCTTGGAGCCACGACGAACCTTTGCTTTAGATTTCCTTTTCTTTTTCTTGAGAACTTTAACCTTCTTCTTCTTTCTCTTTCTACTAGTTGAAGAGACAAAACAAAGAAGTTGTAATAAATGTGACTCGGAATTCGTATGTAAACCGTGAATATAACAAAAAGCTGGACAATCAGCGAACAAATAGGAACAAACTTTCATCTCAAACAAATCGAAAAATACCAGTTAAGGCCATTTCATAGTTACAAAAACTCTCACTTCCAAAACGAGGCTAAGAGAAAAGGAGGCTTGAAGCAACTCGGACCGTTCCCCGAGCTGACGGGTCTCTAAATGAAAAGGAATCACGTTAAAGTGAGCTCGAGAACTCGCCCCATTTCTCGACCAATCATAATTTGAATTCAGACCAAGCGTGACTTACTGTCGCACGCTTTCCAGAACTTGCCTTCATCTCTGATTGGCGCATGACGTTCTATGCAACTTACATAATTGGCGACATCACAAAACGTTCTACTTGGAAAACGTCTCCATACCTATCATTTTTCTTTCTTTTTTTCTTTGACTGAAATTGCTCCTCCAAAATAAGTTCCCTCACGTGACTAAACCTGCTCTTAAGCCCTTTGTCCACTCTTGCAGCGGCCTGCTCTTTCTTCTGACGTCAGAGGTTAGGTCAAAGGAAGAAAACAACGAATTGGGGGAGATGGGAGGGGTGGTGCAATATGGTTGTAATTTGTTATCACGAGCCAACGTTGCGGGAAATCGTGTAATAGAAGGCAAAAATTGTAAGAGTGGGAATGAACATGAAAAATGAAAGATCATTTGAGACAAAATGGTACGATTTATGAACAAGACATTCCAAATGAAAGTAATTCGGTTAAGTGTTTAAATTGAGTTGCGACAAAGTAACAAAAATAAAGTAAAATTTGATCCAAATTGCATCAAACCAGACAACAGAGGGACAGGGAACAGGGTAATGGATATGAAACAGTTAAAGTGACAGTAAGTGTTTGTGATACCGTTCAGATGAAAAAAGCACAACATATAATTATAAATGAAGAACATGACAACAACAAGTGAACGGTCGCAATTTTTATTTCAAAAGCCAAAACAAACAAGATACAGAAAGTCATTTAGTAGAAATGAGAGTTACCGCGAAAATCCCCGTACAGCATGTAGATTTCATTGTGTGTACGATCACAGAAGAAGGCAGTGAAATTAGAAAATGGAATCGTCAGCCAACAACGGAACGATGGGGAGCAAGACATGTAGAGAGAAAACAGGAAAACAATCGCATTAGCAAGAAATATCATTAGTTTATAAAACGTCCAGTAATTAAACTGTTAATTGCTTTCAACTGACTTTATGTCTCACTTGGGGAGCAGGAAGGCGAAATCAAAATCTGAGCTGAGAAATAGCCAGGAGAACTCTCCATGTACGCGCCTACAAAATGAACGCTTGGAAAAGGGTGATTTCGCGCATGCGCTACGAAATCTGATGGACACTCGTTTTCCGAGTAACTAACCTGTGCACATGTGCTCAACCCTGTACTAAATTCTAGAGGTAGAAGGGAATAGAAGGGGGTGGGGGCATGGATTGGTTTGTAGTAATCAAGTAAGCAAGCACGTGTTACGCACCTGTTCCTTAACTCTGATTTGCAGCTCGATTTTCTCAAGATGATCTCTCGCTGTTTGTTGATTGTTATCAATTTCTAATGCCTCCTTAAAGCTCTGTATAGCTTCTGACAGTATCCCTTCTTTTTCTCGTCTAGGAACAAAAACACGACAAAAACTTTGTAAAAACCTGCAATACATATGCGAGATTCGTTTCATATTAAATTACAACAATTTTTTGAGGATTTGCGGGACGAGCCAAAAGAACGTCTTCGAGCGGGGCCTACCACAGTTTCAATTTTAATACATTTTATGACATACATTGTAACTCCTTTACAAGGCAAAATAATGTACGTCAGACAGCTATTTGCTTTGTCCGACTGCAAGTCAATGGTGATCTTGTAGGATCGACATATATCCTTTAACAAAGGAAAAACAGTGACTGCAGGCTTGCAGTAACTTACTGTATTCCCTGTTCCACTAGCGTGGCAGTGAGGTATTTGTTGGCATTCCTGTGACTTGGACAGATCGCCAATGCCGCCCGGAAATCTTTGATAGCGGGGGTGAGCTTGTCGTCATTGGCATATCTAGATATGAAAAAGCAATTTGAGTTAGATTCCTGGAAGAGTCAAAATAGTCCTGAGAACACTTTTTTAACAAAATTATAAAAGACTGAAGAAGTTTCAACTTCTAAACAACTCACAGGGCTCCTCGAGCTACCAGTGCCTCCACATTTTGACCATCAATCTGTAGCGCATGCTCAAAATATTTCATAGCAGCCTCGTGATTTCCCGTTTTAAAATGCTCCACACCTTTGGCTGTCCTTAAAAACAACAGATGAACAGTGAATTGTAGGTAACCTGTACCAAGTTCATTACAAAGAGTGATGAATGAAGGAAAAAGTATGCCCGTGAAAGAAAAAAGTGCCAGTATTTAATCTGCCTGTCACCAGACTAACACCATTTCCTATAGTAACGAAGCGGACTAAGTACGTGTTGTGGTTTCCATATGACTCAAGAAAACCTTGGTCAGTCAACCAATAAAGTTTTATAATTGAATATGAAAAGAACAGGCAGGGTGCAAAGAAAATCACTTTTACAGCTTACTTCGGGCAAGCTGAAGCTAGCATTTACTAGCGCAGACGTCATTTCAACTAGCCCCAAAAGTTTTTTGTTCTTCTGTTATTCAAATTCCTCATAAAACATCACTTGCTCATAGGGCAAGTTAAAAACAGAATTCACTAGCCCGATAGCAAAATCCACTAGCCCCGGGCTATCGGACAGTACTTTCTTTGCACGCTGACAGGTGTCAGTTATTCCAAAGGTTATCCACCGGATAAATCATTATCCCATCCCTAAGTACTAGAGAAACCAATTGCATAATCCAATGGATGGTAGACTACGAGTAGTCTCCATTTTTCCTCAGGGATAATCGAGCGAAACGCGCTAATGGATGGCGATTTATCCAGTGGATAGCGTTATTCACAAATTCAACATTTAGGATCAGAAGCATAGCTTTGTTTTCTGAATTCATTTCTTTTCTCCCAAATAAAGGGCACTACACTTGGAACCTACATTAGTGGTAACGACCATGCAGATAAATGTTCTCAAGTTGCATGCAGCTTAAATGTAATTAAAAATCATTCTACAACTTGATATAATCTATCACTATTAAAAAATGGCATTGACAATACAATCACTCAACCAATAGAAATCCTTACGTTTCCATTGACCATTTGGCAGACTGCCGCCTTCTCAGAGGCTCTGCATAGTCACCCTCTGGGCAGTCCTTCCTGTGAAGGAAATACACACGAGCTACATTTCTATGTAACAACAAAAAACAATAACTTTGAATGATCCAATCTTTTCAGATCTTATATAAGCTTAATTCCACGACTGAAAACGCTTTTTAAGGTTAAGACTATCCAACTTGACATTAGACAGGGTTTTAAATAGGTATGGGAAGACAGAGAAAAGAATTCTACAATTAGAATAACAAAAAAATTACTGTGAAACTAACAAAACCGTGAACACCAGAAATATTTATGGAATGTTACGGTATTGTGTTGCGAGAAATAAGCCAATAAGGTGCAAGATAACAGTACTAAACCGCAAACAGCAATGGTAATTAGTGTGTGGTTTTGAGGTTTGCTTGCGTATCCTGAACTTTATTGTAATTGGCCAGTACACAATCAACATTCCTGAAAATTTTCAGGTGTTCACGGTTTTCTGAGTTTGACAGTAAACTCAGCAAAGTAAGATAATTCTCACGTTTGCTACTGGACTTGTTTAAAATAATCTTGACTGTTCACAGTCCCCTATTTTTCGGTACGATTGTCAGGATCCAGCACCAGCCGTTACAGGCGGCCATCTTGGTTTCAAAACTACCGAGTGTAGCCTGGGGACAAGTGTCAAATCTACTCAGGGAGCAAGGGATTGTTTGGGCGAAGGCAAGAAAAATCTACCCCTACGGCTATAAACCCCAGGGTCCACGCCTTCAGTAATGGTAGGCGCACTCGATCTCAATGTTCTTATGGAAAAATTAGGGACTATTTTGCATGAATGTACCTTTGGAAGCATCTCAATAAAGAACATGGAGCTGTGGTATCAATACCAAGGAGATCTGTAAGTGTATCTATATTCCTTGGGTTGTTAAAACCCTTATGTTTGTTCAACTGTTCTTCATAATTCAATACATCTGGATTATTCTGTAACCTGCAAAATACAAAACAGTTCAAAGAAAGTTTCCTTAAATCTCTCCTGAAAAATCCACAACAACAAGGTTCAGATGTAACAACTTGTCAAAACGTCACAAAACACATTCCTTTTCTCAAAAAGCTAACACGAGTCTCCTGAGGCTTAGTGGTAGAGCATCTGAACCAGGTCATAGGTTTGACTAACAGGAGTATTTGCAATTTTTTTTTCTAAGCTGCCTGCACCACTGATTGAATAAACATCTTTTACATGTAATCACCAGGTTTTAAATTCACCACCACATTTCTCTTAGGACAAGACATGTTGCAAACTGTGTGAATGATAAGGTTTTGTCAGGCCACCTACACTGTAAAATTAGGCTTTTGTGCACCACTTTCGTGATAAGTGTAGAGGACGGTTTACAAATAAAATATAATGGCATACAGTATACCTTGTGAAAACCACATCAGAGTCATCCACAACACCCTGCAAACAAGGTGAAAGAAAAGCAACAACTAAGCATAATTAAAACAGTTTTACTTGTCTAGTGTTGGTTAAATGAAAGAAATAATATGAAAATCAAGACAATTATTGCATACAGTCGTACAAAGTTTTTAAAACCCTCCATTGCAAGGTTAAAGGGTGAACCTATCGGATAAAAATTAACAAATAAGTAACGGGGATGCTAGAAAGTGCTTCATGAACATCTACATGCAGTCTTTTATTGAAATGCACTCACCAAACACACATGTTTATGTACATCAGGTAATCTTGAATTTCTCAAAGAGATTGACACTTTTTCCTCCTCACCATTTACATTTGTAATTACTCCTACATGAAAAAAAATTTAAGCCATCAAAAACTTGATGTCAGACAAATTAAATAAAGTCCAAATTTTTATCAAAATGTGGGGCACATATGGTAAGAACCTCGAATAATATCACCAATCACATAAGCATCAGTTGGGTCTTTGTACTCCTTGGTCAGTTCTGAGCTGTCTAACTCTGACAACTTGCACAATGCCTGGGTAAAGCAATAAAACAAGCAGCTAAGAATAGTGCTGACGGTGAGTGACAGAAACACATTTTTGTGAGTAATGTAGAAGGAGGCTTTCACATAGATGTGTGCCGATATGAAATTTCTCTTCAAGTGTTAAAATTTCGTATCTCCAAGCGGCAATTTTGTACATTAGGTACAATGAAAACATCAATGAAGTACCAAAGAATTTCCCTTTAATAGGTTTTGGCTAAAACAGGTGCAATTCATTATGTAACCATGGCAACAGAGATCTTTTCACATGTGAAGATAACATGTTATTTTCAGGTGTGAGTTCATATTTTCATGCAAAAGCTCACCGGAATGTCACAGGTGTTTATAAAATCAAGGGCTTGGCCCCAAATCAGATGCTTTGCCAGTAGCATTTAATTCAATGAGAATTTAAACAAATCCAAACCAAAGGATGCTTCAGAGTAAACTGGTTCTCTGCAGCATGCAAGCATCCAAGATTGTTTGTAACATCCCAGCAATATTGGATTCTTCACAATCCTTTTTCAACCCTGCTTACATTTTATCTTCCACAATGTAATATTGGTTACCTTCTTAATAATATACCTGAATATCAAGATCACTGAAGTCTCTATTGCACCCAGATTCCAACATAGTCAGTGTTACTATAATACCAAAGGGTCTTTTGTAAGTTACTTTGCCAATGACAATCTCTCCTTCCTTTAAACACTGCAGAGAGAGTCAAAAAGTATAGTCAATCCATATACGAAATACAGAAAGTCGAGCCCTGTAGATCTGCATTTCTTGACACAGAAAACAGCAGGAATTGTATGTAATTGCCTAAATAAATATCAGTACATGATGCAGGTTTGGAGCTAACCTTGAACAACTGTGTTCTTCTGACATGCAAAGGTATTTCCATTAAGGTTTCAAGAGAAGGAGTATCCGCATAAGGATCTAACACTGAAATATATCACAGTTCTTTCATTTAATAAAATCATTCTCTTATAGTCAACATCACATGTTGTAGTCAATAAAATAACAGAAGTACTTTCACCTCCATCACTAAATACGTACCTGTACCTGGTTACAAGCCCACCCCAAATACTATTGTATTTCTGACACTAATTGCCGATTTCCTTTGTCATAACCCTTTTACTGATAAGGAGGCTTCCCACTAATTTATCTACTTAATATTTACATCCTTAGCAACTAAACTGTTGAATCTAAAACAAACCTTTTTTTTTTTGTCTTACTCTCTTTGAAAATTAACCACTTTAGTTCACTTTTTACCACTAAATCTAGCCTTAATAATTATATGTCACAGGCCACGATTAAATTCAGGTTAAACTTTTAACCTAGGTTGATTCTTAATTTTCTTTGTCTCCTAGCCATAATTCATGAATGATTAGGGCTAGAAGACAAAGGGAATCGAGAATCAACCTGGGTTAAAATATTATAACTTAAATTAAATTTTGACCTGTAACAAAAAAATTATACATGTTTGTTCAGTGCTCGACTTTCAGAAAAAAATCTTGGGGCCAACAGGCCCCCATGTTTTCATTTTTGGTCGCCAGAACAAGTATTCTGGTTGCCAAAAATTATATATTATAAGGTATTCAAGCTTAAGGTTCAGGAAATGGAATACACATTAAGAAAAACAAACTTAAGGAATCTTAAAACAACTTATTTGGGATATTAAAGAACAAAATCTGCAAAATTTGTTTTGCGTCCCATGTATTTGCACGTTCAGAAATGAACATCGGTGAAACTTCATCTATTTCGCGGTTGCCTAACACGTGATCGAAAGTCTCCAGAAAGAGGAAACGTCGCTAATGTTTTCGGGCAATGAAGTTGATTTCGCGAGAAGTCTGTTAGACAAACAGCATGAGTTCAACGGTACTTCATTAGAAGTCAATAAAATACTTCAGAGCTTTTATTTGGGTCGCCACGCTCAACAGAAATTTGCGTAAAGTTGTTTACAAGAATTGCGAAGTTCGAGTAAGCGCTGTTCGTTCTCGATTAGCTTCGATTAGCTTTAGCTTTTATCAGACTAATCTGCTATCGAGTCCGCAATCGAGATACATGTTGGGCAAAAAGAAATTGTTTTAAATATCGATGCGCTAAAAGTCATTCCCGGAGAAACACGGGACGATCTGTTGAGAATTGCGATCGATTTGCCCGAAAGTCGATAAGTCTTTTGTCGAATTCATTCATTTCACAATCCTCTTTCAAGTAAACGTAGATTAGAGTGTTGAAAGAAATCGTTAAAGCGTTTAGACAAATCGTTAAAATGTTTAGACAAACCATTAGAGCGTTTGGGCAAAACGTTAGAGCGTTAGCAAAACCGTTAGCTATCCGTTAGTTTTGTAAAGGATAACAGATTATCATTAGTGTACGTTTACCCAAAGAAGAAAGTCACCTATCTTGGTGGCCAGGTTGGCGACTAGCGGTGAAAATTTAGTCGCCACTGAGTAAAAGCTGGTCGCATTGGCGACCCCACAGGTCGCAACGTCGAGCCCTGTTGTTGGACAAATTATGATCATTTACTTTGTGATGAGTTATACTATTACACTCAAATCTTTTTAAAATTTAAGCAATAATTTCTCTTACAACCATGTTCAGAATACTTTTGACATTCTAACGAAGGATTTCCAGCATAAACCAAGGAAAGAACTGATCACCAATTATCTCGATCAAAGAGAAGTGAAAAAGAAGTTAAATGAGTGAAGTCTGAACAGAAACACAACCTTTACTTTCAGTCACAGAGCTATCTAGCATGTTGCTGATTCTCATATGTCAGCAACCCGCCTGCGATATAGCTGCCAGTACTGCAAGGGATACCATTCCAATGTGAGAACAGAAGTTACAGGCGACAGAGGCCATCCCACTCTGCCACCACTATGTATGTACCTGGGAAGTTGCCCCAAGTTCAACTTTGCAGGCATGCCAGCAGTAAAGACCTACCCTGTTCCTATTCCTGGCATTGATGACGAACAGTATCCCAGGCAAGACCGCCATGTATGTGGCAGGTAGAAAGGCAGCACATGAGGACCAAGCTCTGCGTATCCTCAGTATTTATGTACATGTACACTTACCTTCCTGGTTTGAATGCAAGCCAAAGTCAACTCCTCTTTGTAATTTCTGCTTCCCTTCCATGGAAAACAACAGGTCTGCTTTAGTTGCAACAAATCTTCTTATTCTTTGGTTGAAATCATCATCTTGCACACCTGACCTAAGTATATAAATAGGGAGGTTATTAACCCTTTAAGCCCCAATATCCACATACAAATTCTCCGAACTGATCTCTATACATTTCCTTAAAGAATGACTTGAGAGAATTTGATAAAAGATCAAGGCATTTTCTCTTAGGTGATCATTTTATTAATTCTCATAACCTAATCTTTTGACAATGTATGGATATCATTTGGAGAAAATTGATGTTGGTCACCATTGGGACTTAAAGGGTTAAGCAAAAAATCGATACAAATGCATGGCTGCAGAAAATCTCAGACAGAACATGTTTTGCTTTGATTACTGATAAATGAACATAAGATCTCAATCTCTATGAAAAACCTTTTTACCAGGATATTAAAATAGTCGACCTAGCTGTATCTACAGTATGTACTGTACATACATGTACTCCCCTACCAGCTGATCAAATTTTTTTGACTCAGCATGCTTGATTACACAGGATGCCCATAAATTCACAGAATAACCAGCAGATTAGGAAGCATTCTCCATTGCCAAATGCAACTATAACACCTACAATGTAGAACCTAGCCATTCCATCAGAGTTTAAAGCATTGCGCTAGCTACAGGTGAAAAAAAAATTGTGCATCTCTGTTCCTCTATACAGTCAATCCATACAGCCCCACCTACTTACTGTATTGGTGGTTGTCTATAAAATGGATGAAGGATTTCTCTGTCTTCATTAGATGATTGATGCATTTCACTTAGTTCTCCTAAATATTCATTTGTTTCACCTGCTGGGCAGCTCACCTGCAAACATTAATATTACATAATGTAAACAGTCATTTTCACATAAAAAGAGAAGGAGGAGAATAGGTAGAGGTAGCCTGTGAGCGCAGAACTTTTTGGGTGGAGAGAAGTGATGATGGGAAATACATCTGCAGGCTAAGGACAAGGAGAAGGGTAAGGCAGCAAGTCAGAAACTCAAAATCTGGAAGTACCAGGTTAACAAATACTCTGATCCCTTGTTGAAGTTGCTGTTGTTGTTGTTCTTCTGTGATTATGACTTTTTTACTCATTATACTCCATCAGACATCAATTATTGTTTTTCCCAAAAAGAGAGGTTATTTATGAATAGAATATGAATGTAGATGTAGAAGGCACGCATGTCCACCATTGATAATTCTTTGTTCACACAATACATGAATTCGTGTGCTTTAAGTGCTTCTTACTAGGTTCCTATACCAAGACTGGTTCTAAGAAAAATTGGTGGGAGCACAGTGCTCTAAACCGGTGAAATCTGGGGTGCCTAGCATAATTTTTTTTTAACAAAATCTGTTACTTCTAGTGGCTCAATAGCATATGTACAGCATGGGGGACAACCTGAATGCTGCTACAGTACAGCCCTGCTATACACTTGTAAAAGAGCAATGTATACCTGAAGCTTATTTCTGAAGTAATTCATGCCCATGTTGCCATCTCTTCTAGGATTAAGAAAGTTAAGTACTGACTCTTCTCCATCACCATGCTCATCTCTTGTCAAAGGTATG